TGTTAGGTTAAAGCTTATATATCCTTTAGGACAGCTCAGGATTCTTGCCTTACATTTCTGACCGATTCCATTTCCTGTACCCATACGCCAAGACTTCAAACTAACCTTTTGCTGATAATTTGCATTTTCATCCTAGGTACTTTGGATCCTACAGATGTACGCACAAGGAGTAATACGAGATCTTGTTAGAATGTAGATTCTGATCCCAGATATCTGGGTTGAAAATGCAAATGGTGAGCAAGGGAGTTAGCCCAGAAGGAAGCAGTTGGAAGTTCTGTATTAGACAGTTAGAAATTGCTGAAGTGTGTCCATACCGTAGCACCCGCCACATGACATGGCCATTTTCTGATAAAGTTCTTGAAATCAGGACTGTACCTTTCATTAACTTCCAACACCTATAATCAAGTGCACAACAAATGTGCTGGGATGAATCTATCTATCGTCACCCCAAGTTTACTTCCTACTCTAGGAAGAAAAAGCATGTCTTTCTATCAGTTTCTTTCTTTCTCTTTTTTTAAAAAGTCTTGTCTATTTCCCCCTCTTTCTAAGCCATCTTTCTCCACCTCTGTCATTGCCTTGGTTGAGCCACCATGTCCCCCATTTGCTGTGCAAATATCAGCATTAGAGACAGAACATGGCCATGTTTGTATACCCTATTTACAATCTAAATAAAGTAGATTGTGCTATATCACAAGTCTGCCATCAAATTAGTTGCCCTTTCCTTTTCTCAATGTGTCTGTCCTTGGAATGGTTCTACAATGACACACAAAAGCCAAGTAAGAGGATATGGCACGGAGAATGTTAAGAAGGCCAGAAAGAATACAATACTTGGTCCTGTTGGGCATTAAAACTGTATTTACAGAGATGCTTCATAAGCCTAGGACTGGGTAGACCCTGTGAGCTAGATTCATTAACTCCCCAAATGAGTATGTTCATTAGACATTCACAGGATTGAGGAAGAAATGTGGAGAATGCAAGACTTCGATTTAATCTTCAGCCTATGTGTCTCTGTTCCTCATCTCAAGGTTCCACATGCCTTCTGAGGCCCTAACTCAGGTCCTTTACACGAGAAAACCGCAATGGAAGGTATTGGATCCTTTATCTTAAAATGCAACTACTCAGGGAAATCCTAACTAATAGGTGCTAAATAATGATTTGTAACAAGACATCATCTACCTAACGGAGAGAGAAAAATTAGAGACAGGATG